TGGAGATGATGGCCTCTAGGTCCTCTAGTGTCGCCCGCCCCCATATCAGGTTATGGACACACTCGAGGTTGACCACCATAAATTCCATGTTGATCCTGGTGCGATGGGAGCCGTCGCCGACTTCCACGGGGAGGACTATCGTGCCCTCGGCGTCGATAGAGCCCCCGGTGAAGCCAGACAACGGTGTCCGTATCGGCTTAAATAATGCCCTGTCCAAGTTCAGCTGCTTGAAAGTGTCCAGGTACATGACATTGACGAAGCCCCCCGTGCCGATGTAAGTGTGGTGGATGATAGAGTTACCTATCTCACATCGGACGATAAGGGCATCTCTGTGTGACGCGGGGCCTGGAGGCAGATCCTTGTCGGTGAAGGTGATCGCCTCCGTCCGCTGCTTCTTCGGCTGGGGGGAGCATGGGACACCTTCGCAATGTAAAGGGATTGGGCCCATTTCTTCCTCTGGGTGGCTGAGTCCCCCCAGTGTTGCCCCCGCAATGAGGTGGATGTGGTTCTTCTTCGGAGGGGGCTCCTCAAAGTGTTCGTCATCATCGCTGAGTCTGTCGATCTCGTGCTTCTTCGTAGAGGGTTCGCCCCCATTTTTGCCGGTGTTTACCCACGTATTTTTGCGTGGGCCACCTTTAACAAAATGGAAGAGTTCCCCCTGACGAATCAACTTCTCGATGGCTCTCTTCAGTGTGACGCAGTCGTCTATGTTGTGGGAGGTGTTCCTGTGGTAACGACAGTAGGTACCGCCCTGGTGGACGGCGTAGATTTCCTTCGCCGACCGAGGATCCTGTTCAATGAGATTATGTTCCTTGGTGTAATCGAGGATGGAGCTGACCGAATGAGTGAGGGGGTCTTCGACCTTTCCATCCTTGGCCGCCATGGGCGGTCCTTCTTGTTCTGTCCGCCAGACCCATGGCGGCTCTGTCCTCCCTAACCTCGGTCCCCGACCGAGGGTGCGCCTGGAGCTGGCGCAGTATTTATCTTCTTGGAGGGGTGCCCTCCATTCTTCTTATGGCTGTGGAGCTGGTCGGCGTCAGCGTATAAGTTCCCTCGTTGGAGCGCCTTCGTATAGGACCTTGGAGGGTCAGTGATGAGACTCCTCGCATATGGGGTGCTGCGGAGGGCGCCCAGGAAAAGGACAAGGAGGGTGCGCTCATCTGCCCCTTCGACCTCATCGGTGTCCCTCATCCATCGGTCGACGAACGACCGAAGTGATTCGTCATGTTGCTGCTTGACGGAGAGAAGATGGGTGAAATATTTCTTCGCGCGCTTCCTCTCAACAAAGTGGGTGAGGAAGCGTTGGGCAAGATTCTGCCACGAGTCTATGCTTCCTTCGGGGAGCGCATTGACCACTCGTACGCTGGCCCTTCAAGAGTGGAAAGGAACCAACAACAGAGGTATTCATCCGACTCGTTCACCATCAGCACGTTGTTCTGATAGCGACTGAAGTGCTCCTGTGGGTCGGAGCAGCCGTCATAGGGCTTGATGGCGTTTCCCCTGTACTTCTCAAGAATGGGAGCCGAGAGTACCCTCGCAGTGAAGGGAGTCCTGGTCCGGACCTGGATGATAGGGTCACCTCGTCCCTCAGCCAACACCCTCTCCAGGGCGCTGACCTTATGCATGAGTGCGTTGTAACCAGGATCCCCGGAAGTGTTAGCCGTGTGGATGGTGGCCGATTGTGTGGCCTCCATCTGGGTCAGTCTCCTTTCCAGCTGCGCGATGACCTCGTCCCGAGGGTCCTTGGCGGCCATAGTGGCGCCTTGCTGGTTGCGCACGCGGGCTTCGTGAGCCATATTGATTCGATGGCGCGCATCGTCCGCGTGCAACTTGCCTTTGCCTTTATCCAGGCGGGGCTGATCCGCTGTTCGGGATATGGACCCCAAGCTTTCCCTTGGTGAGCCAGGCTCACGTTCACCAATCCGTCCCACCCCTCTCTGAAGCAGGTCGACGACACGTGTCACCTAGCCTATTAAACGCTGAGGCTTTTCCACGCGCTGGGGTCGGTCCAACTTGAAGTGGGGAAGCAGGGTGGGAATGGGATGCCGACGTGTCCTGGGGCACCACCCCTTCGTCGTTTCCTAGCTTGATGGCCAACGGCTGGGTTGAGGAGGCGGCATCGTGTTCTCCCCAGTCCTTGGCATGAGTGGACTGAGGACGGTGGGGTTCTTGGCTAGACTGGCGATGATGGCCGGGAGTGCGGCTTGGAGTTGAGGGTCAACGGCGGCAGAAGCCGATTGCCCCGAGGCATTGTTGCCCTTCTCCATGCGCTTCTTCTCAAGGCCGATGCGGGCGTCAGGGGAGCCGCCGTTGAGCTGGTGGCGCAGATAGTTCGTGAGGTCGATGGCCTCCTGGAAAACATCCTCGCCCGTGGCCTTGTCGGCCATGGCGTCCTCCTCGTGTTCCCTATTCTCTTGGGCCTCAGGAATGGCCTTGTCGAGGAGGTTACGGTTAGACTTGGTTCTTCCCATGATCAGTTAGCTGTGTTTGGTAGCGACGAGGGATGCTAACTTGATTGTTCTAGCTCTCAACGAGAGCACCAAATGATAGAGTATTAACTCTTAGAGAGAAGTGAGAGCTAGAGAGATAAGTGCAATAAATACTTGCAATAAATGATTTGTGAACCCCTATAACTACTCTCAAGGGGAGTATTTATAGAGGAAATTAGGGCTGGGCTCCCAAATCTTGGGCTTGGGAGACCCGTTTACAATTGGGCCACTATTGGGTTGAGTACAAAATATGCAGAAGTAGTTAAGTGTGAAGTCCGGTCCTGGGAGCTCTCTGTGGCCGACGAGGGTCTGGCCGACGGAGTCATGACCGATGGAGACCCGGCCGACGGGAACACTCGGTTCTCTTGGCTTCTGGACCATGTTCTGAGGTAATATCTTTCTGGTCGATGGAAGGCCATCTGGCCGACGGAGGCCCCACTGGGTGACAGCTGTGCCTCATATTCTTCTGAGTATGTGGGTCCTGGAGTCTAGACCCATATGCTCCATCAATATGTTTGATGATTAAAGATGTGATAAATTATTATGTATGATGTTCCAGGGATCCAAAAAGGTATTTTTGGATCAAGGACGTCAAGAAGTACATGTGTATAAAATTTCACGTTAATCAGACTTCGTTTGAGCGGTCAAACAGGCGTTGATCGCCAAGTCAAAGGCTATACCCGACCGGGTACGGGTAAATACTCGACTGAGTATTAGTTAAAAACAGCCCCAGGGGCTACTGCCTCACTATACCCGACCGGGTATGGTTGGATACCCGACCGGGTATTGGGTTATACTCAAAATGGGCAGTTTTTGAGTAGGTTAACGTGGGCCGTTCGGGTGGGACCCGTCCACGTTGGTTACTAAGGATTATTATATGACTATAGGGCTAGATATTGTCCATAGTTGAAGAAATAAAAGATTAGCCATATCCAGGTTAGGATTTGGTAGAACTAAGGTTGGGGTCGAGTACCCTTGGACGGTAAATGATCCAGAATACTCCAGGTGGGGCCGAGTACCCTTGGACGGTAAATGATCCAGAATACTTCAGGTGGGGTTGAGTATCTTTGGACGGTAAATGATCCAGAATACTCCAGGTGGGGTCGAGTACCCTTGGACGGTAAATGATCCAGAATACTCCAGGTGGGGTTGAGTACCCTTGGGCGGTAAATGATCCAGAACACTCCAGGTTGGGGTTGAGCACCCTTGGACGGAAAATGATCCTAAAAAACTCGGTAGTATGAATCGAATGTAGACTATAGCTTGTGAGCTAGGCATCCGGGAAAAGAGTGAGGAAAGTCAGGTAAGAACGTTATCTCTAAAATACTCTTTTAAGGTAAATGACCTATGGGTTAAGTGTTTTACACGTATATATACAGTATGTATCATCGGGTGGATGAGTTACAACTATATATATGTATCACCCTATTTTTGGGTCTCGTGTCTGAAACATTAGTTATTCTCCATACAGCCTGCTTGTCACTAGTACTTCTATGGAGTACTGACCCCTCTGGGGCCCTCACATTTTTTCATGTTAAGGCTAGAGTCCTACAACCTGCACCTTTACCTATGATGATTGATCAAGGAGTAATATGTGGTTCATGCTTCCATTCTATTTGAAATTTATAAACTGCTCATGGATATTTGAACAATGTTTTTCTTCTAAAACAGTTGGGAGCATTCGTGCTCGTGTTTGCCACGTGTGGCTAATTATCAAACATATTATATTTTTCGCATTTGTTTGATTATGATATTGATGTTGATTGTATGTGTTTACTAATCGGTTTGACAATAGAATCTATGAGACGCCTTGTGTAATTCAATAGAGATGAACTGTTGTTGTTCTTATTGGGTTGTACGTCGGTTGTCTACGAGGCACGGATGTTGTCCGGGGCATGCCAGCTTCTTGGATTAAAATAAGTATTTAATAAAATTAATAAAAATAAGAAAATAGAAAAAAATAGTAACATGCATCAGAGGCCTTTGCTGCCGCCTCTGCCACCCCATCACCACTAGCTCTGATCATCGGGGGAAAATGCCAACATGTATTAGTAATGTCATACCGATGTCTCTTTCAATGAAAATTTTGGAATTATCAAAGAGTTAATGCCATTTTCTTAACATTTGCAGTAGAAATTGCATTTCTCTTTACAAAAAATGAGATTTTCATCGACCGGATGTGGTGGTGTTGGGAGGCGGTGGAAAATGCATCCATTATTTTTTTAAAATATTTTTTATAATTTTTTTTTTAACTTTTTATTATATTTCTAATGATTTTTTTGCGACTTTTTTTTAATTAAATCATTTTATTGTGAATTAAAACATTACGAATTAATACCTTTAGGGATATTTAGTGTAGAAAATTAATGTTTAATCGTGAATGATTTAGATTTTCAAATTTAGTCTTATTTATTTAATTAAATTTCCATTTAATCCAATTTAAGGCAATAATGGACGTACAACTATCTATACTAAACATTTTTCTTTCCGCAAACGGTGTACGTGCGCCAGACTCGCCAGATCGCAGATAATACACAGTGGGGCTGCTAGTCAACCAGACAAGTATATATTCTCCCGCCAAAGTCATTTCATCCGGCCGACCCAAGTACTCAACCGAAAATTGCTATTTTTCGGCCGCGAAATGGAAATTCCGGTTATCGATCTGAGCTCGTACCTGGAATTCTCAGATCGACAGCTCTCGCATCCGGAGACGCATCTGGATCCCCAACTCATCAGTCTGTGCTTAGAAGTGAGCCGAACCCTAGCAGATACTGGGGCTTTGCTGGTGAAAGACCCGCGCTGCTCCGCTGACGATAATGATCGGTTCATTGATATGATGGAGAAATATTTCGAGCAACCGGAAGAATTCAAGCGCCTTCAGGAACGGCCTCACCTTCATTATCAGGTGACCCTTTTCTCCATACATCTACATCTTACCTGTGAATTTCTTATTCATTGCGGGTACACAAGTCAAGCCCGATGCTCTCATGTTTCCCAATTATCCATCAAGGATTACTTCTCTGTCAATTTATAATCATTCGCACTCCATAGTGATTTTTTTGTTAGTTCCTACTAACTTACTACCTCCCTCCCATACAAAGTATCGCGTCCACTATTCTTTGATCAAAGTAAAGGCATTTTAATCTTTTACTTTTATTGTCTAATTTTTATCAAATTTGAGTTTTGTTTGTGACTTTTTAAAACTTTTAATATAGTTTTTGAATATGTAAATACTATCTATTATTTACTAAAAATAATGGTATTACAGATAGAGATCATTTAACTGTGTCAGTTATACATCGTAAACTGCGTGGAAATCTTTGTACGGGACGGAGGGTGTACTATTTTTTGTTCACATGTCGGGAATCAGCAACTAATGCCCTCAAGAATCAAGGAAAACTTCAAATTTTAAATCTTTTTGAAGGGACATAAGAAAGTTCTATTTTAACGATGAAAAATGCTTTCATTAATCATATGTTTCCTGCGTTTGTTTGATTGGCATGATATTGAATATTTTTTAAGTATTGGAATACACTGTATTGGTAGCCTTAACCTGTTTAAGATTACTGATCCTTTGATATATGTATATTACTTTGCTTTTCGGGTATGTTTTTTATTCTTTGACTGGTTGTAAAGGACTGCTCAAGCTAATGAACCTAGGAGGTTTGAATAATATGACCTTCCGTAAGTGTTTGGAAAGAGTAGTCTCAAATGGAGTTATAAGAACTTAAAATGCTTCTGATATATGCACACTCTTTATTATTCAAAAATGGAGTATTTGTTGTGGAAATTTCGGACAGGTTGGAGTTACACCTGAAGGAATTGAAGTACCTCGTAGTTTGGTTGATGAAGAAATCCAAGAGAAGCTAAAATCCTTGCCTCATGAGTATCAACCATCTCCTCTTTCAGGGCCTGACCCTAAGTGGCGGTACATGTGGAGAGTTGGTCCGCGGCCGGCAATGACCAAGTTTAAGGTTTCCTCAATTTATAAACTTCTTATAGCATGCTTTACTATTGCTTGTTTACTCTATACTTGCATAACAAGCATTGCACTTCTGTAGGAACTGAATTCAGAGCCAGTCATACCTGAAGGATTTCCTGAATGGAAAGGCACCATGGATACATGGGGATACAAAATGATATCCGCCATTGAGGTAAGCCAGATTTTGTGTTTGCTAACCTTGTACCATTTTTGTCAGCTCTGAAACTTCTTCTCTGTCTTTTTAGACTGTTGCTGAAATGGCAGGCATTGGGTTTGGTTTGTCCAAGGATGCATTCACTTCTCTAATGAAGCAGGTTATAACTTAAAATACATTGTGTCACTACTTTCTGTGGTCTGCTTTTCTTTAGAATGCATATTTCATTTTTTTACCTACATCAGACATGATGAAGATTTAACTAAATCTCAGTTATGACATGTGTATCTAACTATCTACAATTTTGGGGATTTAAAAAGTGCTCTATGTTTCTGTGAATATGAAATCATTGTTATTCTTCAAGTTCTAGATTTGTTTTTTTATTGTGCGGATAATTGGAGTGAAACATTTGTAGGATTACTGATTATGTACACTGTGTTTTCATTGTTCTGCGCTCACTTGCCAAAGTGAATTTTCTTTTCATGATTTGAATGTTCTGTATGTTACTGGCCTATTTTAATTTGTAGGGACCACATCTCCTTGCTCCAACTGGGAGTGACCTGAAACGTTATGGACAGGAGGGTACCGTGTTTGCAGGATACCATTATGACCTTAACTTTCTTACAATTCATGGAAGAAGTCGATTTCCTGGTTTAAATATATGGCTCAGAAATGGCCAAAAGATGGAAGTGAAGGTTCCTGTTGGGTGTCTCCTCGTGCAGGCAGGAAAGCAGGTATGCACTTCAAGTGCACTTTCTATATAATTGTTTACAATCGTGGCTGCATCTGCCATAGTTTTAGGACTTGCGATAAAAGAGTAGACTTGTCACTTGCCAAATATGAATAAGAAATAACCTCAAAGTGTTTCAACATCGATGTTTCCTTCTCAGGAGGGAATTTACTTTTCCATAACTTTGGTGTTTGAACTTTGAACCAAAGAGAGCATCATGATGCATGGGTTGGTCAGAGGAAAAGGATGTTGACCCCTCCTCTCCATCCAGTTAGTTCAAAAACTCCATAACTAGAAAATTCTGTGGCACAAGACTGAAGTTGGGGTGCATTGTACATAGCCATACATGTTCTTTACATTAGACCGTTTAAAGATATGTCACAGACTTGCAGATTACCTTTAAAAGAAAAAAACACCCACGCCACAGTTCGCAGGCTTCAAAATCAGTTTGGTCAATCCTATATGCTTACAGCAAGCTAGAAGTGATCATCTTTACTATCATTTAGCATTTTTTTCTCTCTAAAAAGGTGAAATAATCTATTTTTCTTGACAAATTTGAAACATGCCAGATAGAGTGGTTGACTGCAGGACAGTGCATGGCTGGCATGCATGAAGTTGTTGTGACTAATAGAACAACTGATGCCATTAAACGAGCATTGGAGCATAACCGAAGTCTCTGGAGGGTGTCTTCAACTGTGAGTAAAAAGCCAACCCCTCCATACATTCAATTACATTTTTATGAGTATTCAATATCACTATTTGCAACTGTTTTGACAATTTTCAACGCAGGAATTATTGATAACAGTTTCTTCTTGTGTAGTTATTTTCACATATCGCATCAGATGCAGTGCTAAGACCACTGGGGCACTTCGCTGACACTCCTGATGCTGGAAAGTATCCTCCAATATGTGCAGGAGAATTCGTAGAGCAAGAGCTCTCAGTTATTAATCTTAAAGGTAAGAAATGAAAGTCTTTGTAAATCTGTCTCGTGGAAGCAAATATCATTCCAGGATTGGTGGTGTGGTGATCAAGTAAACTGGAATATCATCTTCTGTATGGAATGTTTGGACATAAAATAGGCTGATTTGAAACGATACAACTATTAGTATGCCTTTGAATAAGTATTGAGAGAGTACAGTCACATCCAGTGTTACTATGAAAGGGGATAAAATTGTCTGTTACTTTTACCATTATATTTAATTCTTACATACCGATACAGTGTTACAGTCTGTGAAATGTTAATTCTATCCAACAATGTTATCTATGTGGTGTATCTCGATGTGAACATAGCATTGGTTTCATTGGTCAGTATTTCAATTGGCCATTGCTCTAGTGATGTTCACTCTTGAAGCGAGATGACTCTTGTGCGGCTGCGCACCTAGCACCTTGCCTTAGGTTGCAAGTTCTTACGAAGAAGCTGGGATTCTTATATGTAGCTGTAGCACATAGCACTTTCCTAATTTTTCTCATATGTAGATGTAGACAGCGGAGACGCAAAGTAGTAGTCAAATCGTACAAATAATTCAAATATGACTTGGATTAGCATATATTTACAACTTGCAATCTTTTTAACAATTCAAAATCTAACAATGGATATGCTAAAAAGTGGGCAGGGGCATACGCTTCTCTACCTTGGGATTAATGCTCTTCATAAATCATAATAAGGTAGGTAGTAAATTATTTACAGTAGTTATATTTTGTCAAGTTGTTGGGCCTAATTTGCTTTATCAGGTTTCTCTTTTCAACTTCTTTTGATAAAATAGATGAAAAATTAGTTTCGTTTAGAAACAACACAATTTTTTGTGAAAAAAATTCGTTCATCAAGATCATTTAAGAACGAAAGCATAAAATATGTTACGGAGTATATTTTTAGAGCTATATTATATGTGGTCCATGTGGATCATTTTAAAGAACTGAGTAAATAGTAATTTTAAGTTCGACTGACTAAATTGCTGGAAACTTCTATGTGGCTCTCTTAAAGCACTACAAAAATATCATTTTCACAATAACACGTATAATGTTCTAGTGAAAGATATATGTCTACATTTTGTCTTTGTTTTCATTCAAATCTTCAATGCAATTGCTCAAAAGTTCAGTTCATTTAAAGGTATTTGTAAGTCTATGTTTTGAGTAGGGGTACTTGTCCGTGGTCATTTTGGCCCAGAAAAGGTTGAGAAATTTAACTTCAAAGTTTAACTATGAAATTATAAAAATTGAAGTTTTGAACTTTTGTGAGACCTGTGAAACATTTAGAACTCTGGGCTTCCCGTCGAGTATATGCGACTCATTTATACCAATGTTCAAATTGATTGCATCTCATTACAAGTCGGTGTATGTACTACGTAGTAATAAAGACGCAAAAGTTGTTCACTGCATCCATTATCGATATAGTTACATCATACGAAATACGTAGTAATAGTTATCTTCCGTTGGACATTTCCTTATCTTTGTATGGAATTTCTCATGAATCATAGAAAGATATCAACTCCACCACCCCCTTCTTATGGTGAATCTTTGTCTTCATCTGTCCCGAATCATTTTTCATTTCCTTAAAAAAAAATTGTGATCATTATCATGTCGATTTCCTCAAGTTCAATTTCATACTTCTTCTTTCTTAAAAACCTTGTCAAGGTTGAAAGGGAAGAATAAAAAGGAACAGAAGAGTAAGGCTCCGCACATTCATAAGAGTATCATGATGGGATGTCATGCAGTTTAAAATCAGTAACCTACTCATAATCATGCAAGTTATATGTTATTATAGACGGCGTTAGGACAAAAGCATGGAAGGGCACCCCACTCTCTCCAGTCTCCCGCTATATATATTAATTATTTATGATCGGACATCAATTGCGACACTCCACCTAAAGACTTGAAAGGCATTTTAGCCGTAGTTAGGGTCCTAAACAAGCAATGAAGCTTTCGGGGGTGATAGTGCTGGTTATGGTGGTAGTGGTCATGGCCAATTTGGTGCAAGAAAGCAAAGGTAATTCTTGCGGGGCTACATTCTTCTCAGCGCTTGTTCAGCTCATACCGTGCAGGGCTGCAGTTGCTCCTTATAGTCCCGTTCCACCAGGCGAGGCTTGCTGCGCAGCCATCAAGGCACTTGGTCAGCCTTGCTTGTGTGTGCTTGTGAACGGCCCGCCAATCTCCGGTGTTGATCGGAACATGGCAATGCAGCTTCCTGACAAATGCACTGCAAATTTTGAGCCATGTAAAAACTTCTCCTGTCTCTACATTCGCAAGTGTTGCCGGTTTTTACAAAATAACAACTTATTTTCGTCATATTATACTTCATTATTTTAAATTTTAAACACAACAGTGATGGAATAAAGTTTTTAAACATCTCAGTGTGCACACTTATAATAATTCATTCACTAAAATAATTCAGAAAAAAGAATTTGGTGGTTAATGATGCGTTAGGGATGGGTTAAAGGTGAGGTAAATATAGAACCATGACTGCACCATTACCCATAAAAAAACCTACCCATTACCCAGTCACGGCAACTTCCCCAGAAGTTAGAACAGTTCTGTGCGAATTTCCAGCATTATTGGAAAATGGAAATGGAATTTCCACTCACTCTGTCACTCATGTCTGTTTACTGTGTGCAGGCGAACTCATGTAGATGAGAAAAGTAGAGGACTTGAAATAAATGCGTGGAGGGCTTTGTTGACCATCTCTGGAATAGGATTGCTGGAGCACAGCTGTTTTCTTTCAGTAGTTTTTATAGCAGATATTGTCACTGATATTATAATGCTTATTACGCACTAATCATATTTGTTAGTTAAGAGTACAACAAAAATAGATGAGAATATAAATTTTCACTATAATCAGGGCTGCTTGTGCAAATTTGAACTGTATTATTCCTCATCACTGCTTTCAGTTCAAAGACTGTAATTTCACCAGAAACTATTCCACATAAATAATTCCTTCATCGTCGTTGTCATCGCCTTCCCATTCACCGACATCCTCATTCTGATCAAATGAGTTGGGCCTGTCATCAGCAGGAAAGTCATCTGCCTTCTTCTCATTTTCGCTCTTTATTCTATCCAATATTGCAATAACCTGAAAGAATTTCATTTGTTGCTAACTTGCTAAGCACAAGCTTAAATCAGGGTGTAATTCGTGAGTTCAACACATGGAAAAAATAATAGTTTCTCATTCTGCCAAAACGGGCAACTGCATTCTGCCATTATACAATCACTTGGCCTTTAAATTACACAAATGATACCAAACCAAGACCATGTCACAATAAGTTCATAAAGCTAACACTGACGGTAGCAGCAGTGTTGTCATCTATATGCATAGAATAAACTACAACAGCACAGTGTTTGTGTGTGTTCATGTGTCTGTTTCATGTCCAGATTCCAGTGATGTACTTCAAAAAATTTGGTAAAAAGACACATTTAAGTACTAATTACCAAGACACATCTTAAAGCTTTTAAGCACTATTTGAATTGAATATTGATGACAGCCATAGTTTTGTAAATAGTCATATCTGAGAATTTTGGTCCTGAAATTACATCTTACTATATTAGTTCAGCTGCTTCCATGTTTAGGTACTTTTCTTTATTATCTTTTTCACAATGCTTTACCTTATGCTCTTTATCCCCTTTACTAATATTTTCTTTAATTTCAAGTATAATTTAGTTCACACAATTTTTACTAATATGTTCAAAGCCCCTCATCTTTTTTCCTTGTTTTTATCCTTATATATATATAAACATTATTTGTATCCTTTTTATTTTATCATTTTTATGTATATTCATCTCTTTGATATTATCTTTTTATCATAGCTTATCTTTTTTATCTTTATTTTCTTTCTTTTCCTTTTGGTGTGATATCATGTATCGATTCATGTTAGCCGACCCCAATATCTTTTGGGACTAAGGCTTGTATGTTGTTGTTGTTGTTGTTGTTCAAAGCCCTCATTTTTTCCTGAGATGGGCTGTTCAACAGCAGGTACTACTCTAAATTGATGTAAAGTCTTTCTCCAAAGACCGTGCTTCCGAGTGGGACTTACTCAGTATGTTAAGATCGGTTTGGTTACAATTATATCCTAGTTGTTGGTGAGAACAGACTGCTACAATTTTATCCAACAGGGAGTTAATATTATAAACTACTTAAGTGCTGTTACTCACCCTGCTTCCTCTCTCAAGAGACTCATCTTCAATAAATCTGACTTCGGGAGTAAGTCTCAACTTTATGCGCTTTCCCAACTCTCCTCGTACATATTTTTCTTTTGACTTCAACCCTGCAATAGCCACTTCCCTCCCTCTTTCATCCCCAAAAATTGAGACATATACTTTGACAACCTACACAAAATGAAGAAGACATATACTCTGAAGTGCATCCTCTGAGCAAAACAGGAAACACAATTGTCTCATCTAATCTTCTTCTTCAATTAAATTGGAGAACAATGCCTCAGCAACACATACTACAAAATTCAAAAGGAGGCCTTTTATACCTTGCTCCAAAACTACAATAATAAATTATGGAAAAAACAGGGTAAATGGAAGCATATGAACTCTTTTAAGCTTCTAACGTGCTAAATGATCATCATAGGAACCCAAAAGTTTTGACTGAGAAAAGCAAACCCAGAGCAGATTTAACCTGTAAGTCGGCTGAAACTTCAACGTCGCTGATAGAAGTAAGTGAAGAGAGATACATATCAGCTCCGAGAGCGGCTTCGGGCAGAATCGCGTACTGTAAAACCTTATCCGTCAGTAACATGCTTGAGAGCTCTCTCCTTATCTGGTTAGACACCATTTTCACTCTCCTGGGATTCGCCATGCATTTTACAAGACTACCTCTTCGGTGTCCGCCGCAAGATTTGAAAACCCGGTGGAGTGATACATGATGCTGGAGAAGGCTGGGCGAAGAAATCGACGGGCAAGAATTATTTGAATTTGTGATTGAACTTGATCTTAAAGTAGTGGAAGGACATAACTGCGGATTCTGGATGAGAACCGGCTGCATTACGAAGTCCTTTCAACTCGGACTTGCTTTTCGCCGGTAAGTTTATCGGGAAGGAAAGCGAAATCGATAATATCGGACTACTATGCCGGCGGACGTTATCGGAGATGCAACTAGTCCAATACTTTATGATGGACCAATTCTTATGCTTTGGACCCAAATAGATACTTGTGTTTACTACTTTGTGGACGGCATTAGAAACCAGAAGATACCCAAACTCTACACCGGTATGGGTTTGCGAAGCCCAAATCGAATCGCAAAGAACTTCTCATACTTGATATCACTCACTAGCTATGGACAGTAAAGTTGTATCAAATCCCAAGGTTTCTACACGTTTGAGATGTTTACGGCTTTTAATATTTGGAACATGCGAGTTTGATTGTTTTTATGCTTCTTTCACAACTGTACATAGGAGTGTGAGGGAAAACCCCTATGACAAGCATGGTGTGTGTGCTTGATGTGGTGGCCAAACTCTTACGCCAACCGCAACCCTTTCCGTCAATAAATCAAATATTCCTCCATTTTATACGTATTCACTCAGTCAATTCACTTTTTCTCTGCAATCCAGCACCGTCAATATATTCACTCAATAAACTTTTTTAGTTAAATCTTTACTTTTTCTTATTATACATTTATTATTGCCAAATTTCTTTTTTACGAATAATTATAATTTAAAAAGTCAAACATTCCGATGTTAAAATAAATAAATTTGGGGTGTAATTTTTTTATTGTTACTTCAAACTTATTTTTGATAAAATTAACAAAAAGATATGTAACAAAAAAAGTAATCATGAGATCTCAATTTGGACATTTTGATCTACTTAACAAAAAAATTGAGCCTAAAAATCTCCGGCTGATAAAATATCATATTTTTATTTGTAATTTTTACATATTCAATATTGGTGTTATATGAAAGATTATAAAAAACTATAAAATTTGATATATATTTTTTGTAAAAATTTGAATACTGATAAAAAAGTTATACAACATTTAAAAAATTTGGGATTTATTAACTTGTGGGTCCATGCTCATTCCAAAATAATTGCTACACAATAATTTAATTGTAAAGTTATTTTTAAAAAACCGATCCAACCCGAACAAGTCTGTAACACCGTCCCCAAATATATTTACTTTTGTGTAAATTATGTATTGAACCTTAAGAAATGATTAATGAATTTAGGAGGTTGTAAATTTTTGTTATTACTTTTGCGTGAATAATAAATTGCACGTGGGGCCCACACCGGGAATGAGGACCACCTGATATTTCGGGACACATATTATATTCATTTTGGTCTAGATAATATGTATATGATGGTGAATATTCTAGTTGGATCATAGAAAAGGCATAGGGTTGACCGGTTGGTCAAACGAGGCCCGATTACCGATATTAATAATTTATCGGATAACAGCCTGAAATGAAATTCGAGGACTTCTAAATTAAAGTTGGGGAAAGAGTATTTATTCTAAAGGTCCATAGTGATGTGGAACATGACATATATTTTATTTGATACAATAAAATAAAATATAATTAAAATAGTCCGAGAAATATAACTTTCGGGATCGCACATATTAAAAATATAAATAAAAGTAGACTATATTAAAAATGTGATTTGTATACTATAAATTATATAAATAAAAAACTAAATACTCCGTAACACTCATTTAAAATATCTAATTACCGATTAGGTTCTAGTGATAATATCCAATATAAATAACAAAAAAACTAACAAAAAAATGTAGATCGAAATCTACAATTCCGACTATAGAGATTTTCTTTTTTGAGTGGGTTTTAATTACACACAAAAAAATGTATTCGTATAATATAAAAAATAAAAAAATGAATACAAAACCAAACAACAGTCATTTGATATCTCCAATTGGGGACTACTTTCTAAACATAAAAAACAAGACGGAATAACCACTTCAGACTGGCAAATTATATAGTGGCAAAACCACAGAGTATTGTGTCTGGTTTCTTTATTTTTTTTTTGCTTTTGTTGTTAAAAATGGTAATAACTTTTTTATTTTTGATCCGATTTTTATAAAATTTATATCAACATTTTTTATTTTTCATGATCTTTCAAATGAGACCAATATTGCTTATGTAATTTTAAGAAATTATCGAACTATTATATTAATGAGTATTATAAGAAAAAGAGAGAAAGACTTGAATAAGACTAAAAGAAGTGTCGTGTATCAAAATAAGTCTGAGAACTTTTTAAACCTTAAATAGGACTAACTTTGGACGAAGGGACAAAATTACCCCTGGATACTCGTACAACAACTGCAAACCCATAAACATCCCCTCTTGTCCATAACTTTGGAGGAAGGTCTTTGGAGAACACCTGGAGTAATTTTGCTCATCGGTGTCATTCGAGACGCATGATTTTTCACTTCCGATCAGCCGCAGCTCGTCTCCGGAGTGGCCTGCTGTTGGTCTTTACCGGACCAGTTGCCGGACTCTGTTCTTCTTCTTTTCTTTCGCCGGTCTCTTTTCATCCACCGATCTTTCAGTTTTTGACGACTTAGAATTTTGTTCCCATCGATTTTGCTAGTCGATTCCTTTTCAAACTTCTTGCTGTCGATTTTATTTCTGTCAAACTTCTTGAAGTGTAGTGTTTCTTCTTCCTTTTGGTTTTATTTAATTTCCTTTTCAAATTGTTAATGTTTTAATTTATTGCATTTGTTTAATTTGTAGATTAATTAACTTTTAAGTTTCTTTTTGACCGATAATTAATTTTTAAGTTTGTTAGTTCTCTTTTATTACTGGGTTCTCTTCGCATGTTTTGTTATACTTGCACTACGTAGTTTTTTACTTTTCAATTTCGTACTGTAAGTTATGGGTATTACTTTTCCTTTGTTTATCAATGTTATAATATAAAGATTGACGGTTGACACAATATAAGACATAATGTGTGATGCCATAAGTTTTTTTGAAGGGTGATGTCATAAGTTATAAATAATGTTAATATTATCAAAATTATATTAAAATGGTGTGGATGTCATGAATAACACATCATTGTCAAAGTACATAGTAATATAATAATGTCATCATTTGAAAACAAATGTCAATGTTATAAAAAATGACATTGTGAAGATGACAATGTCAATGACTATGGTAATTTTGTGAATGCTATAAAAATGACATTGCAATGTCAACGTTAGTAATATAAAAATGGCAGTGTAATAATATGTCAATGCTAAGTCAATGATGGTTTTCGTGACAATGCGAATGTTATTAGATGCCATTAAAATGACACAATGAAGATGACATTGTCGTGACAATGCCAATGACATTGCCGTGACAATGCCAATGCCATTGCCGTGACAATGGCAATGACATTGCCGTGACAATGTCAATGACATTGCCGTGACAATGGCAATGACATTCCCGTGACAATGTCAATGCATGACATTACGGTGACAATGTCAATGTAGCCCAGACAATATCAGCCCACTTGTACCAAGGGTAATACAATTCCATACAAACTCCATGTCTAGGTCACCCACTCAAAAAGGTTACTGTTTAAAATGAAGTGTCCCCGCCTTCATCACCACTTTCCACTCCCATTTTCTTCAACAATTCAAATTAAATCTCCAGGAATCTCCATGATTATAAAATCTAGTAAAGCAAGTTTAATGAAATAAGAAATTGAAAAAAGTAACTGGAAAAGAAACCAAAGAAAGCTTAATAAAGCACTAGCAGATCAGACTGGCAGAAACAAAAAAAACTAAAAAGGCAAATAATTTAGAAAAACAACAAATATAAGAAGAAATCGTAAATTCATAAAAACGAATGAAGAACAATTAAAAACTAAAGAGGAACAAATTTTTAAAAGCAAAACCATTACCCCACTATAATGTAATGAAGAATCAAAAGAGATGGAAGGAAAAAACGAAGATAGATGAAGGAGATGATGATGAGCAGAACACGAGGAACTTGGAAGAACATCGAAAGAAGAAAGTATGTAGGAGGAACGACACGCAACACGGACCCCTATACCTCTGTCACCATCTCTGTCTCTACCGCTTCCGTCTCACATCCGTCTTCACCTCGCTGCCGTTGTCGAAGTGTAGTATTCCAGCTTCTGTTTTGTTGGATGATGGTGTATTTTGACTGAGATCCTCTGTTAGCCGCTAGCCCACTAGGAAGTACGAACAAAGAGAGCAGGGGTAAAAATGGTAGTTCGGCTAACATGTAGTCCTATTCAGGGTTAAAAAAAGTCGGAGTCCTATTTAATTACGTAGAAGAAGTTTCAGTCTTATTGAGAACCATTTCTCTAAGGAAAATTGAACTAAATTTAATACAGAAAAATAATTACGTAAATCACAATTTATCTTAAAATTGTGTATATAAAAAATTTATTGTATTATATATTTATACATGTGAGTTACATATTTTTATACGTGAAGTTACATATTTTTACACGTAAAGTTACATATTTCTACACACGAGTTACATATATATATATATATACACACGAGTTGCATTTGACCTGCCTGAACGCGAGTTACATATATTTACACGTAAAGTTACATATTTTTACACGTAAAGTTACATATTTATACACGCGAGTTACATATTTATACACACGAGTTGCATTTGACCTGTCTAAACGCGAGTTACATATTTTTTTACGTAAAGTTACATATTTTTGCACGTAGAGTTACATATTTATACACACGAGTTGCATTTGGCCTGACTGGACGTGAGTTACATATTTTAACACGTAAAATTACATATTTTTACACGTAAATGTTAATATGTTAAAATTACATGGGCAATATTGGTCTCATTTGAAAGATCATGAAAAATAAAAAAATTTGATATAAATTTTATAAAAATCAGATCAAAAATACAAAAAATATTAACATTTTTAAGAAAAGGAAAAATAGAAAATAACAAAGCCAAGATATACGACTGCTTCTTCACTCTCCCAGGTATACCATGCGCACCGTGAGACGGTTGCATGGTATACGAACAGCTTCCAACTGCAGGCATTTAAAAATTAAATAATTGTAATCCGAATAGGTAATTCCGACAGGATTTAATAAATAAATAAAAAATCAGACCGGATTTGGAAAATCCGAATGCATTAGGTAATTAATTTTTTTTAAACCCTACTTGTTATGAGAAGAGGGAATTCCGACTCCCGTGTTGGAAAAATGTGTTAAAAATTGCATTAAATGGTCATTTTGGGGCAATTATTTGAATGGGGTCCACTTTCGATTTGGGCCGGATTAAAGTGGTTTCGGATTGTCCTTGTTAAGGGCTACAATTCGATATATGATACGCTCAAAATGGATAACGGGTGAATGAGAAATTGATTCTCGAAGTTCACCTGTTGAAATGGAAAAACTAGGAAAATGATGGGTTTCTTGTGTGTTTTATCCCACACCGAAAAACTCAAGGGA